AGCAGTGCTGCGACCATTGTCAGCCTCCTCGATCACTGCTGGTCCTGGCGAAACGTGTTCCCGAGTTCGTTTGAGCACCGTGGCCGGTTGACTTTCCGGAGTAACGATGACTACGGCGTCTTCGTCATCTGATGAGGCACCGGAATTGCCCTTGCGGCTGCGGTGCTCTTTACCGGTAACAAGACGTCTTCGCCGATGCGTGACCTCGGATTCCAGGTTAGGCGGTGGTGGCAGGTCGCTCTGGCTACGACGTTTGATATGACCTTTGCGCGACGCGTGTACCGACTGATCCTGATCAGAAGAAACAGCAATAGGTGAACCTCCGACATCTCGTTTCGAAACGTGATGCTTCCGCCTGTCTTGTCCGTCTACAGAACCAAGGTCTCGATCCTTTTCCTTTTCAGCAAAATTAGGCAGCTTGCCCGCCAATTGTCTTTGCGTCAAGATCGGACTCGAGGAATTTTGCGAGTTAGTGGAGTTCGGAGATTGTGAGCGGCGACTGACACGACCTTTGGCCTTGTCTAGGTCTCTAGTAACCCGCGGAGAGCTCACTCTTCGTTGTGTTGCGTGGTATTTGTCGTAGGCCGTCTTTAGAATCTCATACTCCTGCTCCCACCGTTCACCTTTCCGCTCGGCAGCGATCTCATAATAGGTCTTCCCTTTAAGAATCCTCCTGGTAGGATTGAAACCTAGCTGCTCGACGAGAAGTTTGACAACTTCCGGATGCCCTCTGCCAATAGCTGCGAGCATCGGAGTGTTGAATCCAGGTCTCAGGCTTCGAATTGGGTCAGGATCGGCTTCAGGATCACCCATCGCCAGAATCAGCTGCAAGACCTCTTCGTGCCCAGCTTTGGCGGCTGCTATTAAAGACTCTGTTTCAGCCTTTTGCAAGACATTGAGGATACTGGCCACGCCTTGGACATCACCTTTCCCCGCCAACTTTTTCAGATTCTCCTGAGTATTTGCTTGCCAGAGAAGATCATTACGAGTGGATTCGCTGCGACCAGTTCTCCGCCTACCGTAGGCAGCAGGCGGACTTCTAGGTCCCATGAGGGGTGGTGAATCGCGGGGGCTAGCTGCAGAAGCTGCTCGCGAGGAATTCCCGTCTCGAGCCGTGTCGTTGTGCTCAGAAGATACTCGCCTATTGCTGGGTTTCTCTTTTGCGTCGGCAAGGAGCCGTCGGATCTGTTCATAGTTCTCGTCATCTTGAGGAACAAGTTCGTATGGTTCATCGCCCTTAGCGTTGCCCATTCGTGGATTCGCTCCGTATTCGAGAAGGAGTTTGACGACTTCAACGTGACCGTTCTCAACTGCATCAATAAGTGCGGTGTCTTTATCAATGTTCCGTGTATCGATCTCGCATCCGTTCTCCAACAGGAACCTCACGATATCGACATAGCCTTGGAGCGCGGCAATTTGGAGCGGAGTGTTTCCTGCATTGTCGGGTTGGTTGAGATCTTCTGGTCGTTCGGAAAACTTGATTTTCGCCGCTGCAAGATCGTTGTTACTGCATGCTCGTGACAGGAAGGTTCTACCATTCTTGTCTCGCCACTTGCGAGGGCCGGGGGCTTTAACCGGCGACATGGTATCATGCTCTGTAGACGAGAACTTGTGCAGGAGGACGGGTCGTGGCTGGCGAGGAGAGTCTGAGACGTCCGAAGAGGCCGAGCGATCGCGCGTATTATCTGCCGAACCACTTCGTCTGGTGTGAATTGAGGGAGGCCGCCCACGCTTTTTCCTCTCAACATCGCCAAGTGTCAACTGGGTCGATATCCCACGCCTATGTTCTCTTCTTTGTGGCCTTGGCGAAGGAGAGCGGTCTTGCGAAGAATGACGGGGATAAGTGGCAGATCTGGTTTCGCGGCGTTCTGACGAGGTCGGATCCACTCCGCCGCTACTGGTCTTTGTGCGATGTTTGCTTATCGGAGGCAGAATATCGCTTGGACGACGCTTGCGACTTTGGTTCTTGACTGGCTTTTCCCCGGCATCACGCACACTGATGATATCGTCTTCACGTTGAGGCCGCGCCTGCTTGGAATTTCGAGATGCGATATGGTCTGATAACTCTGACTCGCTATCTGGGGAATGCGGAGGTATTCGGGGCGATGATAAAGGCGAGCTGCGACGACTGGAGACGGAAAAGGCGGGATCATCCTGCGCATCATCAATGCTACGCTTGCGCTTTCTGGAATTGTTGTCATTTTCGGTCGCAGTTGCTCCAACAGCCGAATCTCCATCCTTAAGCCTGGTAACACTTGCCGATCCTGTGACGGACGTGTGGTTGGCGATGGTCCTCTGCTTCTCTGGTGACTGAATCAATGTCTCTGCCTCTGAATCACCATCCGCATCTGCCTCAGCCGCAGCACCAGCCATGACTTGGTCAATGGTGCCTCTAACCGTCGCAGGAATCGAGGACCTTTCTCTGAACTTCGAATCCCAGACACGTGCAGTGGTCGATCCAGCACTGGTAGCCTCGTTCGCGGTCTTCTGGAGAGCGGCATTTCGAGACTCTTTGGAGCCGACTGCATCAGTCATAACGATGGCCGTCTCCTCTTCATTCTCGCTCTGAGAGATGTCGTTGGCCGTTTTGGACGGGGAGAATGGGTGTTGCGGATGGAGGAGGAGGTTGGGATAGAGAGTATCGACGGACACCGGCGGTGAAGGGTGGCAGAGGTGGTCGGGCGGGCGAGCGATAACGTTTTCAAGCCGTGTATGGATGCTGGCGTGCGGGAGGGAGTTCGGACACGGTGCAGGGAGATGAAGCGTCCTGTTTGGGTGGGCGTTTTGATGGGTTCACCACATTGTGAAGCACAGAAACGCAAGCCCAAAGAGACGGGGGAGACGAAACTCGATTTCGACTCCAAGCCTTGGTGGCTCGCAGATCCTGTTCACGTGAGCTGAAATGCCCCAGGCGCACTGGGGGGCTCAAATTGGAATTGGTGGGCTCCCCCCACTCCTTGTTCCAGGCTCAGCAACATGCTTGTTTGCCTCTGGGTAGGTGGTAGGCAACCGTGGTGGTGGCCCCAACCCCCCCAACTAGAAACAAGGACACTTTATCTCAGGGCTCCCCAGCCAACCAGTCGGGGGTGTCCCTGGCAAAACCATCCGGCGCCCAACGGATCTTTTCTGACCAGGAGCCCAATTTCCATCTCCTCTCGAACCAGATTTCATCTTATGGACCACTAAACATCCACTACGAGCACTCAGACGCACGAGTAGTATTTCAGCTCTCCACCCACCTCTCCTTCTGTCCTTCTGCACAGACTTCCCCGAGCGGGCCGGTGCTCTCAGACTCGCCTGTTCCACGTCCTGTATGACCGCTGTTTCTTATCTGCGATTGCCAGCAAGCGCGAGAAAAACGATGGCAAAGGGCAACATTGGCGCGGTTCTGAATCTTCCTGCATGAATCGTGAGGTCTGGACATGAATCCCACCGTGAGCCAGCCAGACACAGACAGTCAAAAGACCCTGCATGATGCAGACTTCATCAGTCATTCAGGCGATCAAAGCCTTCTATCTCCTCAGCAGTCTAGCCATCCTCATCATCCGCCTGATCCCTGCACTCAAAGATCGATTCCTCGCATATGGACCGCGTGCGGGAGACCAAGATCACAGTAGTGGGAAGGGCAAATCTACAAAGAAGAATCAGCCTTTGGTAGGAGCGAGATTTCTCGACTACGTTGCTACTTTCACTGTCCCTCATGCATGGTTCACTCACTTCTATGTCCTATCCATCACATGCTCACTAGCCTGTCTGTTCATTTTTCGTCACTATGCAGAAACGATCAAGAACCCGAACATGGACATCCCTTTTTGTTGTTCGGTATTGATGTTACTTCAAGGTTGTCGACGACTGATTGAGTGTCTCGTCCTTGCCCAACCGAGCAATTCACGGATGTGGATAGGTCACTATGTCCTCGGCATGGTATTTTATGTGGTCACAAACCTCGCCATCTGGGTGGAGCATCTCGACGTCGACTTCAATCAAGCCCAGAGAACCGAAGCAGGCAGGGATCAGGGAACTGTTTTATGGACGGCCAAGACTCTGATATGGACATTCCTCTTCTTCTGGGCCAGTGACCGACAAAATCTCTATCACCGCTACCTGTCAGACCTGAAGAAATACACCTTGCCAGAGAAACATGCCTTCCGATGGATCGTGGCGCCACATTACACTGCCGAGTGTCTTATCTACCTCAGCCTCTCCTTCCTAGACGCCCCATTTCGAGAAGTCCTTTCCCAGCACCATGGTTACAGCCGGAAACCAGCAATAGCATCCATCAACTGGACACTCTTCTGCGCTCTTGTCTTTGTCGCGGTGAACCTGGGTGTGACAGCCGATGGGACAAAGAAGTGGCTTCGGACGAAATTTCCTGACAGGGCGTGGGAGGTCATTAAGAGATGGAGAATGATCCCCCCGGTTTATTAATATTGCGGGACCAGAGCGAGACACAGTTTCACTGGCACGATGGAGGCCCCCTAGACGCAACAATGGGGACGACCGGGAATGAAAAGTACGAAGAAGATCGATGGCCAGAAGAGTTGATTCGTCCAGTCCGTCGTGAACAACGGTGGTTAGAACCCCGGGGAATCATATCTGCGTGGTCACGGGTTGATAGTAAGATTCATTACAACGGTCGCCTCATCAACATCCCTGAACTGTTGCTGTATGTATGTCCTCGGGTCGACGCCAGTGACAAGCACGTCTCTCAAACGGCTTCAACCCATAACACCCAGTCTCTGCCATGTTTCCGACCATCAGATCCCTACGGTAGATTTCAAGCGAGCCCTTGCTCATCATCATCCGCCAGCAGGGACGGCAACATGCCAGTGCCAGCGCATGTTCCGCTCGGCGAGTCTGCAGAGTAATCCTCGCTCTAATTCCCCAGAATTTCTTCGATTGATCAAGTTCAATGGATATGTCCGTTGCTATGGTAGTCATGAGCTGAGCATATAGAGCTCGGGGTGAGTGTTGCGTTATCACCTCAGCTTCTGTGCTGTCTAGGCATTGCTGGAAGCATCACTCTTCTGGCCAGATTTGTCACCGCCACCAGCGGTATCAGTGTCCTTCTTTTCAGCCTTGTTGTTGTTGTTGCCATTGCCGCCCTTTTCCGCTCCCGCATCTTTAACCCCATCCTTGCTTTTACTCTTGTCGTCCGCATCATCCTCGTCCTCGTCCTCGTCTTCCTCTACGCCTTTCACGGCTCTCTTCACCTCCTCCCTAAACCTCCGCCTTTCCTCTTTGTTCTTCTCCCTCTTCTCCTCTCGTTCCTCCTCCCGCTCCTCTTCCCTCTTCTTCCGCTCTTCGTAGATATCTTCGATCCACTTGGGTAGCTCGTCCAACGCTTTCTCTGGGTCCTTTTTGTTGATGAGAAGGTAGTCTTGAAGATCGGCAGGCGAAAAATCGCCCTCGGGGATCAGCGAGGCGAATTTCTGCGCGAGACCACGCAGGCGGGTGGTTTCCATGTCGTCTGGCAGTTCAAACCCACTCTTTTCGGCCTCACTGTCAGATGAAGGCGCTGGAGCAGTCATCGAGTCCGTGAATGCTCCAGCTCCCTCCTCGGTTTCCCTCAGACTTGCGCCGTTCGGTAAATCCAGATACATTCTCAAAAATATCTCCTCTGCTTGCTTTTTACTTGCATTGCTAAAGCCCACCCTCACGCTGATTCGGCCGGCTCGCACGAGGGCGTCGTCAAGTTCGTTCGGTTTGTTGGTCGTCCTTTACAATCGCAGTTAGCAAAGGTTGTCACACAAGAGAATTTTGCCACAGCTTGAGTAAGCGGAAATAAGAACAGTGCTCTGGGAGGGCATGTTGCTTGTTTCTGCTGCTTGAATACTGAAGATGACAAGAGAAGACTTACATGATCAAAACATGGCCCTCAGGTGCGGCAACACCGTCGATCGCATTCAGCAGCCCACTCAGCGTGACGCGTGAGGCAGAACCACTGTCTTCGTCATTGTCGACATCGTAATCCTCAGGGTCACGAGGAGGCATTCTCCCACGTCGACTATTCCAACTTCGAGATGATACAGTGGACTTCCCTCCTTTTCTATTCAGACCTGCGGTATCGATATCTTCTAACAGCAAGAGAGACCGACCAGGGAGCTGATTGAGGAGTGAAATCAAATCCGAGTCTGTCAAGTCGTTGTCCAGTAGCGAAAGATTATACACGTCGAGGTTGAAATTCGAAGCGAGCGCAAGTGCGAATGAAGTCTTGCCGACTCCGGGTGGACCATGGAAAAGATATCCTCGTCGGTAAGGGATACCGTGGTTGGCGTAGAAATTCATGGTTGCTTCGTCCATGTACTCGGCCATGTCTGCGATGATCTGGACTTTTTGCTCCGCATCCAATATTACGGTGTCGAGTGCTCTCCGGGGTTTCGAAGTGACACGACTCCATGTCTGGCCTCCTCTATACGGTCTTCGAATAATGGTCAATGCGCGCTCTTTGGCTTTGTTGAGGTAGTAGACATGCTCGATAAGGTCCTTGATGGGTTGTGTCGAGCGACCCAGGCAGGATATGGAGATGATTTCCATCCTCTTGTACCGATTGCCGTAGTAGGTGTGGCCGTCACCGTACTTGCGACTACAAAAGAAGAGCTTGCCCTTGTGAACGAATAATTGCAAACCCTGGCCTTGCTCGTACTTTATCTTGGGAGTTTCATTAGCCCGCCTCGTCTCTTCGACATCTGGGTCGAGCCGCCGGTTTCTCCGTCGACCTGCCTCCTGGGAGTTGCCGGACACGGCGGTCAAGACTTGATCCGCACGGAGGGTTTTCCGCTCTGACAGGTAGGTGGTTAGGTAGCTGAAGAGGTCCTCGTCGGACGAAATGTTGATGGTGGCAACGATGACAGAGGAGAACTGAGACCATAGTGATTTGAACCGAGCGATGGGGCCAAAGTAGTAGAGGGCCAGGAGAAGTCCAAAGAAGCGGAAGAAGGTTGGGTGTTTGTCTAACAATGGTCGTGCTCCAGGGACGAACGAAGTGATGATGTATTCGGGAAGGTCGACAAGGCTGCTGCTACCCGCAACGACAGTTTTCTTTACCCGTTGGAGATTCATCTTTGGAGCAGGCGATGTTGTTGGTCAGAGACAGACAATCGATGGACCTGGCGATGTCCGGCAGGTGATATGTAAAGTCAATGTCTCACAAAGTGAATGCAAAATGAAAGACCCCCATGCGGTGAAGCCGTGCAGGAGATTTGTGAGGCGACAAGGCAAGGCGTTGGTCAGCTGAAAAATCAGTCAAAACGTGATCACTTTCTGCCTGCTCCAGACCTCGACTACCGACTCTATTGAATGGATCGTTCTCGTCGATGGGCCGACGATCTGTATAGACTAGTCTGTCCCGTCATATACATTTGGCTGACCCTACAGCGTTGGGCATTTTCGCCTGTCACCGTTTGTGTGCCGCCTGAGCCAGTGGAGCACAATCAGGACGCATTGAGTGGGCGCAGGCAGCAGAGTACAAGACAAGGATCTTAAAGTCGCTGATTGGACAATAGAATGGGATCCCTGTTGTCGTCAGGCATCCGGGACACAAACAAGCTCGACCGCCATATCTCCAGGGAGGTGGCGAGGGACACGGCTGGATCATCATGTAAGGACCATGTATGGTAGGGAGGCTCATCAGCCTTGTCAAGCTCTTACGCCTCTAGGCTGCCTGGACGGGATCTTGTAAGGCCTCGAATCTGTAGATCCTTTTCTACATGCCATGTGGCTGAAGAAAAGAAAGGACAAGGATGGCAAATGTGATGCGGGAACCACGGATATGATACTGCAATAGCAAACGACGCCGAACCCACGCACATTGCCTGGCAGATAGCTCTATGATATGTCTGTGTTGTGCTATTCATTCTCCGATCCTCCATGGATCTTCTGCCATAGATCTTTCGATCCCTCTCTCTTTATCTTCCTGAGGTAATATCCCTTCCTGTAGTGTGTAGCTTCATCTTCTCCTCATCTCATTGAACCTGGATCGCAGCTCTCACTCTGTTTCGTGCCGAACATTGACAGGCTGGACGCTCGGAAGTGATCTGGCGAGCAAGAAACGACCGAGAGAAAAGGATACAAACCGTGGGAGATGGGTGTGACTATGATGGGATGAAGAGTGCAAACGCGATGTCATGGAAAACGTAGACAGAAGGATGGACGTTGAGACTGTCTTTCTCCCAAACAAACAAATACGAAGGGACCAAGTTAATACTCGATGGTTGATGGGGCTTTCGAGAAGATTGACGTCATCCGATCAAAACAGCTTTGAGCCTTTATTCATTTCTCTCTCAAGCCTTCTGCACCCGTCATCGCCTCTGCCTCCAACCTTGCCTCTATCGTTGCCAGTATTCAAATTGTGGACACATCTTCATCTTGAGAGCTGTCTGAAAAGGTCATGTTGGGTCTAAGCTGACATTTCGACCGTCCTCCACCCACAGTTCTTCCTCTCTCCTCAATACCATGCCTGCGGTGCATCGTAACGGCCGGGCTGTTGCAGCGCAAGAGAAACAAGATCAGTCACAGCAAATTACACATACATCCATGCACTCTACACGGCAGAGGCCGTCGGCCTACCTCCTCCTCGTTTATCCTGTTGTCCTCGCGCTGGGCTCTCTCTTCGCCTTCCTCTCCCCAGTTGCCAGTCCTCCGCCCGCCGAATCACTCGCTCCCGGAATCACATCCGACCTCAACATTCCGCACTTCCATTCGACCAACTACTTTGCTGGCAAGCGCAACATAATCAACGTATATTTTGTGAAGTTTGGTTGGTTTTGGACCACCCTTGCCTTTCTACTGCTCCAAATCGCTACCCGACCGCCGCCAGCTAGTGCACTGAAACACTACGCACAGTCCACCTTGCGCTATGGTCTGGTGACCATTTCATGGTTTCTAACAACGCAATGGTGTTTTGGTCCTGCGCTTGTCGATCGAAGTTTCACCATCACCGGCGGTCACTGTGAGCCTCAAATGATCAACACCACTGGACTGAAAGACGCGGTTGACATGACCATGATTGCATCAGGCCCCGCATGTAAAGCTGCAGGTGGAGCATGGCGCGGTGGACATGACATATCAGGTCATGTATTCATGCTGGCGCTTTCCTCGGCCTTTCTGCTGTACGAGATATACATCGCAGACCGGGACTCTGCGCATCCGTCCGTTTCGCCTCGAGCCGCTGCGGCATTGGCCCATGATATGACCGAGGAGGAACGCAAAGCAGTAGGGGGGTGGGAGTCAGAGTCAGTGGCAATGGTGCGAATATGGTCGAGATATTTTCTGTATGCGGTGGTTGTGCTTGACTTTTGGATGCTCATGATGACGGCGATTTGGTTTCATACGTGGACGGAGAAACTGAGTGGGCTGCTCATTGCCGCGGGAACGATATGGGGGACGTACTTTACGGGCGATTTCCTCCCACAGTGGAGGGAGATTGTGGGTGGAATATGACAGGAGATGCTATGAATTCACATACGATTATGTCTGAAACGATGAATACGAGGTGTCTATTCCCACCACGACGAACCGCCTCTGACTACCTTACCGTACCATTGCCGGAGTTGGATCGAGTATAGCCTGACGATGATAGACCCGCGCCACGCAACATCTTGATGGATCAGAGCAGAGCAATCCCCCCTTTGGCCACTCTAATTCAAGAGGTTACCCTCTTCTCTCCTTCATCATCTATTGAATTCTGATGGTGACGAGTCCGTCAAGAATCAGAATCAGAATCAGAACCAGAGCCATAGCTAGAGACGATGCATGAATGGTACATACAGAAGGCATCTATCGACAGGATTGGGTATGTACATGTACAGGTGGATAGATACAAATACAAATACAAAACGACAACGGAAACCACGGCAAACGTCTGGTGGTTCAGAGCAGACGGAGAAGGAGGACCAAGGTTTACTCTCGATATACGCACATATATAAAATATATCATTCTTGCAACATGGTTCTTTCTATTGATTGTCCCCGAAACTCGCATCAACCTTCTTTTTGTGCCCTTCACCCTCGTATGATCTCGTGGGATAAATCCATCCAAAAAGTATTCTCAAAAACAAAAAAAAAAGAAAAGAAAGACAGGGCGGACGAGATTGCCTCCATGTCGTATTATCCCAGTTCCCATTCTTACACACGATCCAATTTGGCCAGTTTCTTCCTTTGCTCCTCGCGTTCTGCTTCCTTCTTGGCCCTCTCCTCGGCATTCAGCCTCCCGGTCTCCTCATCACGCTCGTCGTCGCTGAACTCATCGTCGTCGTCGTCGCCGGTTAGCTGGAAATACTCTTCTGCTTCGTCGGCCGTCGGAGCCGAAGGGCCCTTTTGCATAGCGCCAGGCCTCCTCTTCCTCGCCTGGCCTACCACGAGGGTCAAGACAACGGCCTCGACCACCGCCAAGGCGATACAAAGTGAGATAACCGGCCAGCCGTAGTGTCGCAGCATTAGGCCCGTGACGACATTGATAATTCCGACAGGGAAGAGTATTCGGCCCAAAATGACGTGGACAGTGCTCATCCAGGTCTTGCGACCGCCAGTTGCGATGAAGACGACGTGGTGTCTCCAGCCCAAAACGAGCTGGACAGCCAGAGCGCAGACAATGAGAATGCCAGCATACTGGTGAGGAATGGAGATGGAGCGCGAATTCACGAAGCCGATCAGGGCACCGATCGACACGGAGACAGAGGACAGAGCGTTGACGGTCCAGTGGTAGTTGAACGCCGTCCCTGCGGCGCTCGTGCGAGGAGAGCGGAGTAGATAGACTGCCAAGGGATAGCCGACGAGGAAAGGCATGGTCAAGAGGAAGCCGTGGAGGTGCCTGTTATTGGAAAATGAATAGTCAGCGGGGGTGTTTAGGGGAGAAGATTTGTGTTCTGGGAGACGGCTCCAAGGCAGTAAAACAGTCGAGGAGATACATACCACATTAATGACCGGATATTCCACTGCTTGGCCGACTTGACGGGCTGTTCAACCTTAGTACCATCGTCTACGCTAGGTGCGGAAGTATCGCTTTCGGGCTTCCCATCTGTGGCAGGCTCTTCTGGTACCACTTCTTTCGAATCGCCTTCACCACTTGCATTGTCACCTCCGTCTGTGCTGGCACCGCCATTGTGGGCGGCGATGATCTCATCACCTTTCTTCAGCTCCTCCTCGGTCGGCGGGTTGGGCTCTGCAGTCTCGCTGATTCCAGAATGGTCATTCAATTCGTTGATGTCGCCAAAGAATGCAACGTCGCTCCTCGCATTCAAGAGGTCCACCCACAAGAAGCCAAATCCAAGACCAAACTGGTGCATGTCGATGGCCCTGTCGACGGAAAAGTCGCCTTCAAAGTCTTGTTTAAAGTTGGAACTCCAGATCATGGCTTGTTTCGTCGTGTCATTGTGAACTCCAAGTTCGGCGGCGGTCCATCGGTCGTAGCCACGGACGATGAAATCCGCGATGCCCAAATGCGAGGGTTTCGCTTGCATTTGTTCCGAGTACCATTCGCCAGTGTAGTCCTCGAAATGGGCCGTCACAATTTCAACCTCGGGGACCACGCCGCTGTAGAAATCCTTCATCTCGTCTGTAGGCCGGGGAGGGTGATGGCCGTCCACAGTTCTCACGGTCAAAGTCATGCCTTTATCCTCGGAATTCGGATCGCCGTAGATGATGAACATCAGAGCGCCTTTCATCCGCGGAGCCAATCCTAGAGATGCCCAGCCCTTGTTGGAGGATCCGTACCGGAACATCCACATGCGAACATAGAGGTCGGATTGTTGCGTGGTTTCGTTGAAGTAGTTCACCATACTGAATGCCTGGTCCGCGCGACCGGATTGGCCCGTGTGCTTGACGAATTGAAGGGGTCGGAAAGCAGTTGTGAGGGTGCTGAAAAGTAATATGACCAGTATGGTCGGCAACGACCACAAAGGTCCCTGCATCTTGGCAATCCTGAGCCGAAGGCTAAGATGCTGTGTTGCACGAGGAGGTGGAAGATGATGAATGCAATGCCCAGGTTATACAAAATAATCGAATCGTGGTAAAAACGCCGATGTCGAAGTACCAACACGCTCAAAAGCCCCTGTTCGCGTCTT